AAGCAAACAGAATTGATTTTAAAGAATACAGAAAAGTAACCGCTGTGAAACTTGTGAGACTGGAAACATTCTGAGTAGTTTTTCAGCTTTGTGATTTGCTTCTCACCTGTAAACCTTTCTCAGTGCTTAAAGAGACCTGACACATATCTTCTACTCTGACAAATCTAAAGAATCCACTGTAAGTTTTTTCAAGAGAGTGAAGATGCATATTTTAATGTTGTAGTTTGGTTAGCCACCTTTGCTTTTACAGTGAGAGAATAATCATTTACATTTCTATTACCCTATTTCCTCCTGGGGCTTCACATAATCTTCCGTCTTATAACACCAGCCTTCCAGAAATTCCATCTTCTGGAACTGAGAAGGCTATACAAGGAGGCAAAATTTCAAATCGTTACTTCTGTTCCTTCAATGGAGCATTGAGGCATATTCTGCTAGCACGTGCTGTGTTTGATTGGAAGCTAATAGTTAACATGATTACAGCTCATCTGTTGGATTGTTCTAAACGACAAAACAGAGAAGTGTCTCTCAAAGCCAAACTAGTGTGTGTGCTAAATTGATACTTATTTTCAGAATATCACCACTGTTGACAATGCATTGGTCAGAAGCAAGTGTTATTAAGTCTGCAGGCTTGTATATCGTACTCATAGACGTGATAGGAATGTGTTCCTGTTGGAGGGCAAGACCCATATGTTTTCATTTAGATAGTTTTCAGTAAGCTTTTAAATCTTGTTAAAGACCTTGCTAAGCTTGGTTTTGAATGATCAGTTGGGAAACATCATATTTAAAACATAGCTCTATTAAATTCAGATCTCTTGTAGAGATTGAATCTGATGATTAGAAAGAAAAAAATGGGGGAGGGAGGGGAAGAGTTCACATTCAAGAGGTAGAAACCAGTTCACAAAACTCATTGTCATTCTTGGAGCTGCGTGAAAGAAGAGACATAATGTGCTTCGGTGTATTCGTATTGTGACATTCCTGGAATCACAGAACACAACTAACGAAACTATGCTTTTCTCAAGAAAATGTTATCATCCTATGGGTAAGCCTTGCTGTGGAAACTTACACTTGCCTGAGAATGTATTTGAAATATAATATGTTAGGAATGAATCGGGCAGTGAATATACTCAGTATAAAAAAGTCCCACGTACATAAGGATTCCTTTTGAGCCAGTTCTGCAAGGTATTCAGGGCTGAGGGCCTAGAACTGTAGTACTTTTAACCAAGGATACAAGTGTCTTCCTAATGTTCTGTCCACTTCTAATGATGCCCTGTTATCACTAATTATTGAATGAACAGACACATCTTAAATGTGTGCACTCACAATATCTACATCATAATTGATAAATATCAACTATGACACCTCCAAAAGCACGCTGTCCCCATTGTACCAGGGAGGGAGTGCCAGGGCACTCCGACTGACATATTCCAAGTAGACAACCTCTGTTTCGTTGGTATGTCACTCTCTGCCTTTGTCACAAAGTCCGTCCAAAGAGGGCAAAGTATTGGATCCGTGCCTTCAGTACTCTTTGAGAAAACTTTCAGGTTTCAAGTTTCTGCCAGACAAAGAAGCTTCTTTGCCCAATTATAGTAATTACAAAGAACTCCTGGTGGTGTCTTCAGAACAAGTTGTTAGTTGCATGGCTTGCTTTATGCAGTTGACAGTAATCGATAGTTTTGGATTTTTGAGGTTTCAATGGAGCATCTATCTTAGATAGCTAAATTAAAACACTGGTGTGTATATACTTTCTCCAAAGCACAATCAAGAGCATCTCCATTAGGCTTTCTACTCTGACTTACTGCTGTCTTTATTGGTGTACAGGGGGACAAGCTTCCTAATTCAGGCACGTAAGAGTTGTAGAGAATTAGGCTGTTTGAAAACTCTCATTTGTAGGTATTACCTAAGCTCTTTTTTCGCTGGACAAATGCTTAATCTTTCAGCAAGGGTGGCTTGTTTTTAGCCTTGGTACACCTGCCTTTACAATCATTTCCCTGAAGTTTTTACTCTCTCAGGTTGTCCCACCGAGCTCAGTGCGCCAGGAACAATTATTTCTGTGAGTAACATTTCTTGGATCTGATTCTATATTTGGTTTCTGTAACTCAGACCCTGGTCTCTTCTTGTTCTGTCCAGGCATCTCAATTCTGTCTTGCACATCCCTCTTAAAGAGGTCCCTGCATTTTTACTTTTTTTTACTCCAGTCTTCCTGCTGGTCTTGCACAAAATAACATGTACAAAGAGAGAGAAATAATGTGGTAATGGATAACTCTGCATCTTTTCCTGCTCTGCCCTGCTTCATTTGTAACTAATTAATCAATCCAGTAGTTTATAAAACTCCTTCACGTTGTTAACTTTGAATTAAAATCAAATAAAAATCCAATGTGCACTCGTCTGTATTTGCCATGTCACTGCCCCTACACCGCACACAGTGTCTTAACAGTCCAGCATTTTTGGTGTTGGAGGTTTTAGTGGATAAAACCATGTTTTATTTTCATGAGTGCCATTCTAGTCTAACCTGCACTCCAAAACCAAATGAGTTCAGTGGTCTGAGTCCTGTTTTTTTTTAAACCAGCATCCTGCACAAAGCTGGTGGTTTCTGCTCGGGGACGCTCAGACCCGGCCAGCGTGGAGGCGGAATTACCTCACACCCCAGGGAGTGCTTTTTCTAGGTGAAGACTGAGGTCATTCATAAGGCAATAGGGAAAAGCATCTCTTGTGAAACTGGTCTCTGCATCAGCCAGGGAGAGCGGTCGCCGGTACTGCTGCCCCAGGCTCGTTTTTATAATCTGGGATCTCTGCTTTGAGACCACCTCAGTTATGTGTGCTGTTTACTCTCAGAGTAGAACGCTTAAGCAAAGATTTGCATTTTGGGATGATGTTTTAGGTAGGTTACTTGTTGCAAACAGTACTTTCACATAGGTAGTTTCCTGGTTCTGCTACAATTAGTAAGTTTTTTGCCTTTACTTACAGAGCTGGGATGTTACTGTGAATATGTGAAGGTGCTAGCCATATGATAAATATACAAATTTATGTTCATTATCATTTGTGTGCATTATTGACTGTATCACCTATTCATTAAGATGTTTTCCCATTAATTACTCTGACAGTAAAGCTGAGAGACCTTAAGTGGCTGTCATCTTTGTGCCAGATGGATTAAAACAAAAAATGCTCAGCACTTCTCAGTAGATCAGTGCTAAATTTCGTCTGGGTCATACCAGGTTAACAAGCCAAAGTATCAGGTTTCTTTTTTTTACTTTTATTAAAAAAAAAAAAAGTTTGTTTGTGTTCATACAATTAGCTATTTCAGATCAAAACTGTGTGAGAACATTTTTATCTTGGAGCACAGTAACACAATTTAGATTATTTCATACCTGTATTAAATTAACCAGAAGTGCAAGTTCAAATTAATCTCGTTATTTTTATTTCATCTGCTGTGTAAATAAGCCTTAAACCTCTAGCGATTACTGAATAGGGAAAGTGGCTTAACAGGAGAAATGAATACAGGGCTATCTGAATCTGCAGAGAGCCTGAAAAAATACCTGGTAAGTGACAGGTTACCTGGTAAGTGACAGGTTTCCCACCGATTTCACTGTGACAGCTCAGCTTGGCCAACTATGGTCATTCACCCTCTGTTCCATTAGTAGTCACCCTGTGGCTGAAGACTAATGAAGGGGGGGATGATAGATTTGTACTCTCAGACTTTGGTAGTGTCTCACTGACCTCTAGCCTAGATCATATAAGGAGACAGTAACATTGCCATCACTCTGGAGCTTGTTCCTGAAAGTCACTCATCAGCTAGAGGGGACACAGGGAGAGTAGCTCTTCCTCGGGTCGGGGCGATGGAGGAGATTGCTCTAAAGGTCTGTTCCCCTTCCTTTTTTTTGTAACACTGACAGTATAAACAGGGAACCTTTTTTTTCAAAAACTGGCATACAGAAGCAAAATCCCTGGGTTGGAGAGAGGATATAGAAGGAAGGAAGAACATGCTTCTGGGCTGGATGCCGGTGGGATAAAATTCTTCAGGGTCCAGGAGCTCTGCTGGCACATCCGACCAACCAGCTCATACCCTCCAAACGAGCAGAGTGAGCTCCCTTCTGAGCACTTTTTCTCCTGCCTGCAGATTGGGGTGGTCACAACACCTTCAGCTTGCTTTTTCCAGTTTTTATTTTTCTTCTGTAATTATAAGGAATAGAATTAATATGGTTTTTAAACACTCTGAAAGCTTAGACTCAAGTACTCTCTTGAGGCCTATGCTACCATCAAGCTCATCATAAAGATAACTGAGTACTACTGGAGCGAGGAGAAAAAAAGGAGCCTTGGCCCAGCAGTGCGCATGAATAAATTATCGTACTCTGAAGGACGTATCAGCTGGAGTTGTCAGGTTTCTTTTGGACACCACCACCCTTTGCTGCTTCATCCCCCTAAACTCTGTGCAAAAGCCACAGCTCTGGTACGCCTTAGTCAAACAGGGTTGGGAGTCTCATTTGATAGCAGGTATTTCTAGCCTTCTCTCCATTCTGACGTGTGTTTAAATTGCAAAACTTTGGATCTTGTTTAAAATTTGAGGGGTTTCTTAATATATGTTTATGCTGTCATGCTGTCCGTCTACCTTAATATTTTTTTTTTAAATATATTTTGGACAATTTTAACCAAATTCAAGTGTGCCAAAGTTATTAAGCCCAAATGAATATTGTGAAAATTGGCAGCTGTGGAGATGAGAGAGATAATGCTCTCACTGAGGGGAGGCTTACCCCTTACTTCACATGGGAAAATAATCCTGAGAGAGATCGGGGAACTCCAGTCTTTCGATTCTGCTATTTATGGAATTACTTGTTTATTCTTGGAAATCCTTTGAGGGTACTTCTGTAAACTGAGCATCTACTCTGTACAGAAGTGTCTAGATGGTCTGTGACATGCGATGTATTACTTTGTTTGGTTGTACATGATCACGGCTTGTTCTGGTTCTCCTAGTAAAACTGATGTTTTTATGTCTTTCTCTCCCAAAGATTTCTTTCGACCTAGCAGAATACACTGCTGACGTTGATGGGGTTGGCACTTTACGGCTCCTAGACGCTATTAAGACCTGTGGCCTTATCAACTCTGTGAAGTTCTACCAAGCCTCCACCAGTGAACTTTATGGAAAAGTGCAAGAAATCCCGCAGAAGGAGACCACCCCTTTTTACCCAAGATCGCCTTACGGTGAGGATCGCCAACGCGTGTGTGTGTAGTGTCTGTCTGTCTGTCTGCTCTCCCCGCTCATGTCTCAGGGCTGAAGTCATCTGGGTGTGAGATTAGAATGACGATAGAGCTAAAGTGACTAGACATGTCGAGAGGCATACCTGTATGAATTACTATATAAAAACTATTTGCTGCCATTGCCCGGGGGTTGGAAATTAGCATCTCACTTCGCAAGACCGTGTTCATTCAGCTCGGAGGTAGAGAGCTCTTGTAGAGGGAGGGGAAGGGGTGGCTCTTCCTTCACAAAGGGTTGTGAGATACCGCTGAAGTGATAAGGTTTCATAATTTTTCTTGCCTAAATGAAAAGCTCCCGGGAGCTCACTTTTTCCTTCATGAAGTCGCATGAAATTTGAAACCCTTCTTAAACCAATGTGCACGGAGGACTTTGGTGATAAAGTTTCAAATCGAGTGTTAAGGCACCAGATTTTCCCTTTTATTCCTCCATAGCAATTTTTTTTTTTTATTAGCAGAGGTCACCACAGTGGTATATTTCACACTCGCTGTCTGTCTTAATTATATTGGAAAAGAAAAAGTGCTATGCTTGAGTATGCGTAAGAAAAAGAGTGAGAAAGTGCCCTAAGGCTTCCTGGCCAGTTCAGAGGCTGCACGGAAAAGGAGTATTTTCCCTCTCGGCTGCTCTTTGTTGGGCTGGATTTTTTTTCCGTAGGAAATGTGACGGAAGTAGAGAATGAATCAAATTCTAACACACTCCCTTGTTGAAATGTGGACTTCACTCTGCGTGCGAGATGATGTGTGTGTGTCTGTCTGAGCTGTGAGCACAGCGGGTATAAGTAACGCTTTCAAATTGTTTTTGTAGGGGCAGCAAAACTGTATGCCTACTGGATTGTGGTGAACTTCAGAGAGGCCTACAATCTTTTTGCTGTGAACGGCATCCTCTTCAATCATGAAAGCCCCAGGAGAGGTATGGAGACTCCGTGTGAAACTGTTCCTAAATTTGTGTACATCTAACTGGAAAAACGAAACAATGCATCCACAGGTTTCGTTCATACTTGCCAAAACTCTGTAGCGAGGGTGTCACAGAATCACAGAATTACAGAACGGTGGGGGTTGGAAGGGACCTCTGTGGTCACCCAGTCCAACCCCCTGCCCAAGCAGGGTCACCCAGAGCAGGCTGCACAGGACCACGTCCAGGCGGGTCTTGAATATCTCCAGAGAAGGAGACTCCCCAGCCTCCCTGGGCAGCCTGGGCCAGGGCTCCGGACCCCTCAGAGGGAAGAAGTTCTTC